ATAGGTATGGAATTTTCAGCATGTGATATCGGTAGCCCAAATTTTGCAGGCCGACCATAGATATCAGGTGTGGATCGGAAGGTGATCGAACCCCGGACCATGTGCATGGTCGGCGAGGGTCCTAACCACTGTACCACCAACACACTGGTGAAGATAATCAAGTGGTGAATGAAGAATAAAACAATCGTTAGTATGTTACAGATATCTAGGCAGTGAGTGATGCGATCTACGATCAACTAAGTGGTCAGAGAGAATACCAATGAACTGCCAGAGATTTTAGATGGAAACTAGACAGTATTTAGTCATGCTTATATTGATTTTTCTTAAACAATGGCGCCAGCTTAATAATAAAATGGACGCAGTAGCTAAAAGTATCCACACTTTAGACACTGCACTTGAAACCCAATGGAAAGGGTGATTGACATTAATTTTAGGATCAACTATTAGTGGTGATTCCCTAAGAGAAAACAGCTGAGGAGTACTACTCAGTCAACATTTGATCCATATATATAATGTCTGCCTCTAGGCATTAAATATAGTCTTGAAAAGTAACAGCTTTTAGGCAATTGGAAAAGAATTCCAATAATATTATAGTATCGTATTTAAGCACTGGCGCTCTATAACTCGGAGAATGATTTAAATAATTATGCGCCTAAGTGTACAACTCCATACAAATAAGTGTTATACAATAACTGATGCTAAAAATAAAACAATCTGAGAATTCTACAGTATGTATTGAGACCCTTTGTGCATTATATGCACAATACTGTCACTAGAAGGTATTGAATAAGCTTTAATTGCACTCTAAGTCTCATTCTGCCTTAAACTGCTTCCGACGTTTATTAATTTTTGAAGCAACGTATATTATTTCCGTAAACTTATCAAACTCCCTTTTGCGTAGTGTAATAAGTACTCATGAAACCAAACACTTTACAAGCATCATGATAAACAATGAGTTTAATTTTCAAATACTGAGTTCTAGCAGTTGATGTCAAGGTAGATTCCGTCTTGGATCAACATCAATTAGAGAGCTATTCCAGTAGCTAGACAGTCAACGCACTCACTTCTAGGTCCTAGATTCATTCTTCCGTGAAGTTGCTGATTCACACTGATGATGAGTCCCAAATTAGGATGAAACAGGTGTCCAGTGAGCGCTGCTTTCCTTTCAATAGTTCTTTTACCGATATCAATTCGTGAAAAAATTTCGCTTGAAAATTGAATTTATTGTAGGAAATTCGATTTTACGTTAAACCTTTGCTTCAACATAATTTCGATTAATCAGAGTCATGGATTTCCTATGAAATGAATATGTGTGCATAAATTCGAAGTTGTTTTTTTCAAAAGAGATCAATACACATTGAAGAGCCTTTAAGAAATGAGAGAAATACGAGTTATGTTTCAGTTACAAACAGTAACAAAGTTGAGTATCAGTTACTCTTGCACACAAATTCACATGAATATCATTTTTCTTGTGTGTGCTTTTTTATTTTAAGCAAATTCTATCTAAAAGTTTATTAGTTACATCAAAAAATGTTACGTAACATTTTTTTGTTATTCAAATATGCTTTTTGTGAAACATTTTTTTTGTTCCTTCACGTCCCTAGTGAAACATAGGGCTTCAAGCTAGAGGCTTGAAGTTTCTGTAGCAGTGGGGATTATTTATACAGGATGGGGTTGCTAGCCTCATGCTCAACCTTCCTTCTTTACCAGTCTTATTACTGGCTTAGTGAGGTGAAGGAGTGCATTGGTAGCCGGGGATCGAACCCAGGACCATGTGAATAGTCGGCAAGCGTTTTAACCGCTTTGCCACCGACGCACTCAGTGAAATATGCACTATCTTAAAATTCTAATGTTTTATTCATACAAGGAGTCATTTTGAGACGTTGGAAGAAATTCCTGAATAACACAGATTAAACCAGTAGAAGTCTTCATGATTGAGAAATTAGTAGTGGCTTAGTCGTCCTTTTTGTCAGCCGACAGTACTTTCGATAACGAGGAAGGGGATTAAGCACATAAGGCTAACAACACAACCACCGTTACTTGAAACTTCAAAACTTAAAGCCTTGTGTTCCACTCGAAATGAAAAGGAACAAAAAAGTGGTATTAACAGCTGAAAAGATGTCAACTTGATAAGCATATCTGCAAGACACTCAGCTGGTTTACTGAGAACATAACTGTGGTAGACATTTCTGTTTCGTTTATGGCTGATCTTTATTAATAAGACTTTGAGTTGTTAGGATTTCGAATGACATCAGCGCAAACTGCGTCACAGCAAACGATAGCCGTCTAAAGTCAAGTGGCATTTCAACTTCTGACTCTTCATCAGATTGGATCAATGACCCAACTAATGGTCGAAGCCAACTCCTTTAAAATCTCAATCCTGGTATGTTGACCATTGAAGTTTTAGGATGAGATCCTATGATCCATGAATTCTAAATTCTGTCACTGTGCGATGAAGTGGTAACGCAAACCTATGCTCGATCACCGAACTTTAGGATATTTATCTTGTAGCCAATGATCATCATTAGATCAATATTTGAATTTTGGGTCTGTAGGCATTTTGATTAGTTCGACAGTAGATTTATTCATAAGTCAACATTATGGGATAAAATGTCAGATAAGTAATTTCGGCTGACATTTGTCTGTTTTCTTTTTGTCATTGAAGATTCCAGCGTATATTACCAAATGTTGAGTTTAAAGGTATCATAATGAGACTAATTTTTCCTTGGCATACATTGAAGTACCTACAGGAGGTCAGTCTTGAGCCCGAATAGCTCAGGGGTAACGTCTGTAACTGCAGAACTCACTGGGTGATGCGGGTTCCAATCTCAGAAGGGACATGAGTTCCTTCAGTTTCGCAGATACGCCTTGCTGACCGGTGAGTGCTAACCAGCACAAAACCTAGGTCTAATGCTTCCTGTCGATTGCCTCCAACCATCTAATCCCAATAGTAATGCTAGTGAGTTTATAAAAATCAAAACAAGATACCTGTGTTAATATGTGTGTAAGACTTGAACACTGTGGTAATATGTAATTCCATACAAATTTATATATTGAATATATCACACGTAAAAATAGTATTATTTACTGGATGAAATTTCAGGCACAATTTATTATTCATAATCATATCAGTGGTACTTACAGAACTTCTAACGTTGATGTTTACACATATCGTTCTTTCTCATATGTCGTAATGGCAACAGAATTTCCCCGATGTCCAGGAAAGATGAATTTTCAGTTGTTTCAGGTAATAAAGCTTTAGTTGCCAATCACTTTCAATTTCACATTCATACTGCTTCATCCTATCGTGTAGTTATGTGTAGCTGCATGTAGAATTTCAGCTGAGCTTCTTTCTATACTTCTTACCTAATAAGAGTCTACTAGTCTAGATTTTGTTAAGTTTTGTGTTCCACGAATTTACTTTACCCCAGTCTACTAGGTCAACCCATTTATTTGACCTCATAATCATTGGAAGGTACTAGGTAAACTAAATTATTTTTTCAAGTGTTGGTTTGTAGGGATTTGATTGTAACCAATCAAATCCCTACAAACCAACACTTGAAAATCAATGAGATGCTCACTAGCGACTTGACCTATTCAGGTGGGTAGTCACCTGGGGTTCTAGTGAGAAGTCGTGACCAGTAGGGTGCAGCAGGTCGGGCGTGAGGACAAATACTCGCCGAAGACATTGGTTAGGGGTCGCGATATGTCGTGAATTGGCAGGAGTTAGAATTCATGGGCCATTGGATCGGGTCCCAGTGGCTTAATGGTATACGAGCTCGCCTTGCAACCAGAAGGTCCTGGGTTCGAATCCCGGTGGGTGCGTACTGCTGAAGAGTCCCAAACTAGGACGAAACAGCTATCCAGTACTCCCAGGTTTTCCAATGGTTCTCTAACTGATGTCAGCTCATGATAAATTATTTTGTTTAATTTACTCCACAAAATTCTTTATACTGCTACATTCGTTCTTAATGGTGTTTAGGGGGTTCGCACTCTTCACTAGCAGAGAAAGAACTTCTTCAGCAGAATTATTCGAATGTTAGTTTGTAGAGATTTGGCCTGTTTCAAGTTTGACTGCGGATTGTTATCAATTAGAGAATTGTTAAAAACCAGGAAATACTTAATACCTGTTTCATCCTAATTTGGGATTTATAGACTGGACGCACTCACCGCCAGGGTTAGAACCCAGGACATTCCGGTTGCAAGGTAAGTTCGTAGACCCTTCAGACTATGGGACCCGACTGAATAGCCAGTTCATGAATTTTAACTTCTATCGATTCGTGATTTTAACAGGACCACTAGTTAGTATCATCGGTGAGCATTGGTCCTGGTTACAACCTCTCATGAGAACTCCAGACAACTTCATCCTGTAGCCAGTCAGCGGGTGCGTACTGATGATGAGTCCCAAACTGGGACAAAACAGCTGTCCAGTACTTTTTGGTTTTCAATGGTCAAACTAGAATTATTCGAATTTAGTGTACTATTCGGACAAATCACAGTGTAGCATATATATGTATATATAAATGCAAAGAGACAGAGGGGAAAGCTAGGGTGGGTCTACTTGGAAACAATATTCTTCTCTAACATGTTTTGTTCTACATTGGAAGTCTTAAAAATCATTTGTCCACTGTGTAATTTCTCCAAGTACATGTTCCGTAACTCACATACATACACACATACAAACAAACGCACAAGCGTAAAGCTACTCATTCTTACGTCTTCTAGACTTACAATCACACGTGTTTACACACCTACACTTTACCAATTACTCAACTAAAAGCATCTCAAATAGAAGAAAAGTTTCGCCTTAATTAGCTAACCACTTAGAGTAATTTTCTCCTAATTTTTTTTACCCCTAATCTTAAAACATTTCCAAGTGGATAGGAACTCAAACATCTGAAAAATAGAAACAGATATCAAAACAAATAAGGTTGATGGAAAAATAAAAACCAATTTGGAAATTTCATTTTGTTTACAATTTTTATTATTTATTGTTATTACTATTATTATCATCATTATCAATATTTCGTTTCAAATTCCTACAATAAATATTTATGATATAATACTCTGAGTATTGAGTGCATAGTATTTGTCTGTGTCCCAGCCAACCATAACCTAGAGTAGACACCAATTTCAATCATTCAAGAATTACGACATCTTTCAGACTTTTATAGAACAAAGCATGAAAACAGATGCCTGTGAATTCTATCCTTCAATAGATCATGCAATCTGCGCTCTTATTTTCTCCAGAATAACCATTTCCTTATAAATTCTATTACAATAATCGCAATAAACAGTATTTGAACTAACTAACTAGCATCCTAGTGATTGATTTCATCCATAAGAAATCAGCCTTTGCATTACGTAACAATTCACCCAAATCAACATAATGTATGGCTTATTATTAGACGGATTACGTAATTTCATTGTAACTAAATGGTCTTCAGATGTGTGGGTAGAAATATGCAAACAAGGCGGATCTCCAGATTTACAATTTGAAACACGTAAAATTTATGATGATGCCCTGCTGCCAAGATTATTTGAAGTGTGCGCCGCTGTCCTGAATGAACCAATAGATGATGTAAAATTTGGTATGGGTTTAACATTTGTTGAATATGTCGGGAATAAAGGCTATCAAGGCATATTAAGAGTACTTGGTCGTGAATTACGCGATTTTCTTAATGGTCTGGATAATTTACACGAATTTCTACGATCAACTTATCCAAAAATTAAGCCACCATCATTTTTTTGTGTGAATGAAAGTAAAACCGGCATTACACTACAGTATCGTTCACATCGTCCGGGATTTGTACCATTTTTCTGTGGATGGATGACAGAATTAGCCAGAGTTGTATATCAAAAAGAAATGAATATTGAAGTAAGTTGGGTTTTTTTAAAAAATATTTTTTAATTCTTGAAATTAATGGTTTTCTCAATCAATTTTTATCCTCCAACTAAGTTTTCCATGCACAAAATCTTGTGCGGTCGTGCTAACTAAATGAGTTCAAATTAAGGCATAATTTTTTTTATTTGGGCTAAAACACTATTGAGGCGTTGGGGTCACAGCGGAAGAATGCTCGCCAACCATGCCTCATGTGGTTCGGGGTTCGATCCCCGGCCATCGACGCATTCCTCTACCCCGCTAAGTCAGTTATAAGACTGGTAAAAGAGGAAGGTTTTGTTATGAGGATAGAAACCACACCTCGTAAAACTAAACACCACTGATACTGAAACTTCAGAACTCTAGCCTGAAGCCCTATGTTCCACTGGAAACGTAAAGGAATAAAAAATACATTATTGTGCATATAGCCTGTACACCAAGGCTGCAGAATGTATGTCAACAGGAATTTCTGTCCAGCTTCAGTTGAAATTTTCAATTTTATAAGAAACAGATTGTCAGTGGTAGTTATGACGGATGATCCATCAGTCAGCTGACAGCAGACTTGAATTTCTTATTACATGTCACTGCTGATTGATGTGGGTAATATACAGTTATTTGTATAGCAAAAATATTCATTCAGACATCTATAAAACACAAAATAATCGAGGAAGAATATTCTTTTCGATAAATTCCTCTTCCAGGCTCCACAATTATATATATATATGTTTATATACACAGAATATTTTAAATTAATAGTTAATAACAATATTAGCGTTTTTTAAATAATATTGATTTGTAAAGTATGGTCAATGCTTTTGCAGTTAATTAAAGATGCTTAAATAATAATAATAATAATGAAGATATAACAGCGAATAGAATATCAACTAAAATTAGGGAAATTTCACAAAAATTCTGGATTATTCAAACCTGGATGGCCAAGGTAATGATAATGACTGAACAAACTTCTTTCGGATGCATAAATTAGGCTTATTAATATGGATCCCAACAGCTTCAGCAATGTTTAGTAGTCGAACTCTTAAGGTGAAATTGAGATTCGTAGGTATGCGGTAAATGACCCTGAAAGCATGATTAACGTCAATCTTGTGTTCTGTTTCCACAAGATGAGACAGAATAGCACTGTGAATAGATTTTGTTTGACCTTTGCTTAATCAGGCAGGGTGATGTTCGGAAATTCGACGCGAAACACGCCTAATTGTACGGCCTATGTAACTGGCTCCACAGGAGCAGTTAAATTGGTAGATACACATGTAAGAGGCGAAATTAGGCAGTTTGTCTTTTATTCCCGAACTCAGAAGAGGACTGGCTTTAAAGATACAGCGTAACTGAGCAGCAGGGAATGCTCTTTTTACCGCATTTCTAAGGCGATGTGCTAGTATCTCACTCGTGTTGTCTCCTAGGAACTGCATCTGTAAGAACAAGGCTTTCTTTGGAACTGTTGGTATCTTGGACTGTTTTGGTTTTAGATTCATATTCTTATCAATAAACTTTTCGGGATAACCATTCTCACTTAGCAACCGTTTAATATTGTTAAGCTCCTCGTCAAGACATTCATCCGAGCGAATCTCTCTTGCTCTGTGGACCAAGCACTTTATTAGATCGCGTTTGTATTTCAAGGGCACAAAGCTGAGAAAATGTGTGTACTGACCCGTTGATGTAGGTTTTCTATAAACACTTCTTCTTATTGTGCCATCCTCTTTTCTGGTCATAAGGACGTCTAAAAATGAAATACTAGAGTCTTTTTCTTTCTCAATAGTAAAATTTATTGCAGGATGTACCTCATTAAATTTATCCAGGATGTTCTTTGCCTCCTTTTCGTTCTTCATAATCAAAAAAGTATCATCCATGTATCGACAATAAAATTCGAGTTCATTAATTACATCTTTCAAAGGCCCATTTTCTAGTTTCGCCAGGAAAATGTCGGCTAGAATAGGTCCAAGTGGCGACCCCATTGCCACAACGTCGATTTGTCTACACAGTTCCTTATTGAATAAAAAGTGGACATTCATTGTACATTTCAAAAGAGAAGCTCCTTCATGAGAGATGTAGGAATGCCAACCTCAATGTTTCGTCTTTTGAGTTCTTCACATATAAAGTCCACTGTTTCCATGAGAGGTACATTGGTGAATAAAGAAGATACGTCAAATGATATCATGAATTTACTATCAACATTTAAATCTCTTATCCTTTCAACGAATCCAAAAGTATCCTTTACACTATGTTTCACCATCCATTTTGTAGTATATACCATCATGTTAGGAGTTAACTGACACCGAGTTTATGACCAAGTTTCCATGCTTCCAGCCGCTAGTCAGTAAGTTAGAACCTGTATTGCATAGTGCTGAAGTTAGAGATTTTCCGGTCATAATTGACTAATTATGTGGATGAACTGTACTCACAAATCAGTCACAGGCTGAAAATCAATATGTCTTATCTGGCGCATGTTGTTGCTGTCTGAAATTTTTAAAGGAACGTGAGTTTTTAAAGATTAGGGGAATAACTCACTAATTTAGTATTATTATTTTCTATAGTTTGTTTTGTAAGGGTTAGTTTTGTTTTTACGAGTTTGATGACGGATTGATATCAGTTAGAGAACCATTGAAAACCAGCACTGGAGTACTGGAGAGCTGTTTCATCCTAGTTTGGGAATCATCGGTAATGCGCACCAACCACAAGGGTTCGAACTTAGTACCTTATGGTTACAAGGCAAGCTGACTCGTATACCATTCAGCCAGTTGGACCCAATTCAATGGCCATCCCATGAATTCTAACTTCTACCAATTCGGGATTTCAGCGCGACACCAACCACTGCCGTAGGTGGGACATCCATCCTCACACGTGACTGGATGGACCTCACTGCTCACGACTTCTCACTAGACCTCCAGGAAACTCCCTACTGTAGCAAGTCAGTAGCGAGCATCAGATTAATTTTCTATAGTTTGGTTTGTAAGGGTTCCGAATGAAAGATAGGGCTTCAGTAGTACATCTTCATTCCGCCCTGTTTTCCGCAGTTGTCTTTAGCGGGCTTCATGATTGTCGATAAGCTCTAATCTCTTCCTCAAACGATCTTCTCCATGACATCCTCGAAACAAAAGCAAATTCATCGTTTCCTCCAGAGGGCCTAGGACGCGATGCCACTCAACAGTCTTCTTACAGTGTGTCCAGTTCACTAGTAAATGAAAACAAATGTGAATATTTAATCTAAGAGCTCTTGTTGTTTCACTTGCAGACTCTCTTTTTGATATAAGAATAGAACTTGTGCACTAAGGCAGAGTATAATTCCATTATGGCCTTGATATGATTATGAGCAATAAATTGTGCTTGAAACTTGGTCATCAGTGAATATTACTATATAACACTGTGAGACTTTATCAAAATAAATTTTACGCATAATGGAATTAGACTCTCTCTTTCACTATACGTTTTTCTATCTTCTTTTTGATCATATTCTATAACTGGATGATAAGGTAATGTAAAGACTATTACCACAAGAGTAGTGTTCATCATTAGTTGACGTCAATAGAGAACCAGTATTAGACAGCTACCGCTAGGGGAAAAGAAAGCCCTGAAATCAACTTTCATGCTTATTAGTATCCATCAGCCGAATAAATCGTTGATAAATCTAGATCCAGGTCGTCGAGGCAGCTATCTTCAAACATCCAGCATCAGTTTAAAGTTCTGTTAAATTACCAGTCATCTAGTCACCTATTCTAAGATCCCTTCTACGAATGTCAACTTGCCATTTATATGTAGCAAACAATAAATTCAGATGTTTTAATAGATGTTCTTGCAGATCGTTTTGTTGTTATTATAATTATGTATGTATGTCATTACCAATTAACTATTCACCTTAATCGCATCCGTGAAACAATAGTAGAATGCTTGCCAACCACACGTAATTTTGACGTTCGATTCCTGACCCAGGCATTCCTAAGCCTCGCTATTAAAGCCAACAGTAAACCCCGAAAAGATAGAAGGCTGAGTGTGGCGTCATCAGCCTCTCTTCTCCACAGAAACACCACCGTTGAAGCTTCAAAACTTGAGCTTCTGCGTTTCACTCAGAATGCAGGGAACGAAAAAGGTGATGAAATCACATTAGTTATAAATTTGCGTTTGTCAGAATAAAGACTGAGAAGTTTTGGTTGAATTCAGTAACATATGCAAGGTCAATTTTAATTCTAATATCGTAAATAGATGGTGAAAGGAACACCCTTTAGTATGATGAGCGTGCATTTAGTCATATTTCAGGTTATGAATTTTCACTGTGATATAATCTCAGAGCAGAATAAAATACCCTTCTGGTATCATCTCGTTGTGAGCATTTAGTGGGTAACAAATGAACGTGAACTGAAAATCTGGGTCTTGTAACTCAATTGTCAGAGTGTCCACCTCTTAATCCGCATGCCTTTCGTTCAAATCCTGTTCCGACCCAGATTTTCATTTGACCTTCAATTATTACTTATTATATTAAAACAGTCTACCAACTCAAGGCATTCAAGCTTGATCTTTGAACTTTCAGTAGCAGTGCTTTTGTTTTTTTTATGAGGTGGAGTTGCTAGCCTCACACCCGACCTTTCCTCTTTGCTGGCCTTCCTACCAGTTTAAAAAGGTTTTGGAATGCATCGGCCTGGAATCTAACCCCAGGATCACGTGAGGCGTGGTTGGAAAGTATTCTTCTGCTGAAAAATCACAGAGAAAGTGCTTATCTCGAGGCTTCGCCTCACATAGTCTTGAAGTTATTTTCAATCGACCCTTGATTGAGTTTAATGGACGGAAATACTGGTTCCTTGTTGATATGTTGAAATGCTTCTGTATTGAGTTAAGGTAAACGTGGTGTTATTTTGGTTGACATGAGTCAGCCGTGGAATCTAAGACATAAAAGGCGATCTGTTCGGTACACGTCAGCTGGTTGTAACTGGATCCCAGTGGTGATGTTTCTTTATCCAGACTGGAATTCAGCATTCATCGTTTTAAACGGT